GTAAGAAAGATGAAAACCTCTTTCGTTTCTTTCCCTGACAATGTTTCGCCTTGGCATTCTCTTTGAAAGCACTCCTCCACTTGCAAAGTTTTGAAAATGGTCGCCCAAGGAAGTCAAAGACTCGAATCAGTCCACTTCAAATGCAAGGCCCTCAATGCATTGTAGACCAAAAGATAAATTCGCAATACCGCGAAAAATAATTCTCGGGCCAATTAAAAAATAATTCTAGGTACACATTAGAAAAATAATTTGAAGTACCACTGAAAAATAATTCATGGCATGAATGAAAAATGTATTCGTATAATTAAAACAAAAATAACTCTTGTTACTAAAAATAATTACTAACACGCTGAAAAAAGTATTGTTTAGTGATGACAAAAATACACAACATGTCCATAATATTTGCTGCAGTTGGATTAAAACTGACTTGTGGTGCAATTTTATTGTCAAGATTTTGACCAGAACGGGCCTTCATATGACAAGGTGCACAGTTTTCGATTTTAACAGCTTTTCAACATTACTTTTTTTCTTCAAATTAGGATGGTTCATTAGTTAGTTTTTCAAAAGAAATTGTTACTTTTGCTCTGACAGGGGTAAAGAATGGTCGGCGACGCGAAACAATAGTTTTGTATTTTAAAAAATCGCTGAATAAACACGGGAGTCGCTCTTTTATGTTTTTATGTTAATTAAATATTTTTACCTGTTTTTTACTGCTGTGTCTGCGAGGCTAAAACATAACTTAAGATTGTTATTCCAGTAAAATACGATGTTTAAAAACGAAAAGATACGACTATTATTGTGATTGTTTTAGAAACGGGTATAACTCCACAAAGTCTTGTACCTAAGTATTTCCATGACGCTGAAATGGCAGTCGGAAGAGTTTGCGGCCTTTTGTAGCTATGGACGTACTGAAGACCATCATGGTCCAAATTCATGAATACTGTTAGATGCAATTAAATACATTGAATCCATGGTTCAACGTCTCCTTAACTGACGGTGCTGGATGTCGTCTTCGATGGCATTTGAGCAGGGTTGAATGATTTCGATAGAAACGCGCTGATAATGAAATGAAGCAGAGTCCGCCATGTTCACAATGTATTACACTGATTTATTCTCTAACCAACCTGCAACCCTACCCGGTTCATGTTGGTCCAAATTCATCCAACACTATTGGTTCAACGTCTCGTTAAACGGTGTTGGATGTCGTCTTCAGTAGATGGCATTTGAGTAGGGTTGAATTATTTCGGTGTAAACGCATCCAGTATGAAATAAAAAAGAACAACTCACCACCTTTAGTCCACAATGTTCACACTTCATTTTACTCTGATTTATTCCCTAACAAAACTTTAACCTTACAGGGTTGCACAGACTATTTCTTATTGCCATTTCAATAGTTAAATGAAATCATTAAAATTCTTAAAAGGGCCCTAATGAACGGCGCCTATTTGGTTCCTTTTTCTCAAACCGTTCCCTTACTTGAAACAAAGATAGTTCGTCTGTCGATTTTACACCCAAACGTCAGTCTAAACGGATAATCCATCCCTAGTTTTATAATATATTGCAGTTTCTCTAGTTTTCTAGTGTCACTGTATAAAGATTTTTACCTTCAAAAACCTAATGGCTTTCTGAATATGTTGTCCATGTTTGACTCAATAGTTTTGTTTGCAACTGTTTTCTCAGTTTGTGCATGGTGTTTACTAGGGGCTTTTGGAAAATGGGTCGCGACTTAACGAAGAATATATCTACAAGTATCCCCTATATACCACCAGAATTCAAAGTCTTGGCCTTTCTGTAGATGTTGTTCTTAGTCATCTGTATGTACTTCCCTTATATTTACCTCTTCAAGGCTGCATAGCAGTTCGTCTAATGTTTCCCCCTCAGTATCACAAAGATCAGGGGGAAGATACGGAACGCCAAGTAAAAAAAAACATGTCAGTCTAGCCTTGTTAAAGATACAAAGAGCTGTTTTAAATACAATGATGCAATTCTGTATACTTTTTACGAAACTACAAAGCAGATATCGTTCGATTGTAAACTACTGCCTGTCACGAAAGTTCAGGTCTGTCTAATTTACAACGTTACACTTCATTAAACTCGATATAATCGCTTCTCACATAATTATCAATACCAGATACTGAAAACTGCTAAACTATCCGAGTAAAGGTCTAGAAACCTGGCTTTACTTAAATTTGTGTCGTTTGTTGTGGAAATCGAGTGGAATAGTAAGTGTCAGGTTAACAACTGACGAAAACCCTAATTCACCGTATCCTACATCCGAGCCCACAACGAATAACTATGTAACCGGACAAGCTAAACAATTCTGTGCATCCACGGCGGAACGCACCATTGGCATCAGCGCCCACCATGTTGATGATTACGCCTCAATTATAAACTTGATTCTATCACTTCCTGAAAACTCTGATAACAGGTTTCAAATCAGGACCGTTACTCTCAAAGAGGTCATCCTTGAGTTACGCAACATTCGATCAGACTGTTCAACTGGTCCAGATAACATCCCTGCAAACATAATTTAAATGGCTGCAGATTATCTGAGTCACTTACTGATGTCATCAACACCTGCATCAAGAACTTGTACTTTCCTTCCGCTTAGAAGCTCGCGTGCATCTGTGCGATTCCTAAAGGGAACCAAATCAGATCCGAGAAAGACTTACGACCTATTTCAATACTACCAGTGGTTTCAAAGGTTTATGAACGACTGATTTTTCGTCAGCTGTCTGATTTTATTGATAAGAACGATGTTCTCAACAGTAACATTTCTGCCTATCGGAAGGGACAATCGACCACTACTGTACTTCAAGCTGTACGAGATGACATAGTAAAAGCCATGAAACTTTCGGAGGTAACTATGATGATCTTAGCCGACTTCTCCAAAGCCTTCGATAAGATCTGTTTCAGAAATCTTATCACCAAGATGAGTAAACTAGGTTTCTCTAGAGACTTCCTGATATGGACACTCAATTACGTTACGCATCGTAAACAATTCGTACAGATTGATGACACGTGCTCAGAGGTTAAAAACGTGAGTTTTGGGGTTCCCCAAGGCTCCATCTTGGGCCCCGTGTAATTCAATATTTATGTTGCTAACCTTCAGGAGAACGTAAATGTCAAATGCTTCCAGTATGCGGACGACACAACAATCTACGATCAGGCCAAAATATCTGACCTAAATAACTGAAGAAACACTATCTATCAATCAATACTAATAAACTAAGTGCCTGGTCTAAGGAGAGTACCCTCGCCTTTAACAACGACAAAATCACGGTTATGATCCCATCCACCCCTCAAATATCCAGAGTACATCACCTTGACGAGTATGACCCTAACATCGCAGTCAGTGGTTATAAAATAGAACGTATTAAATCTTGCAAACTGCTTGGAGTTCACATCAATGAACATCTTAAGTGGGACGATCACATCAAACACACGGTATCTGGATGCTACGCCACTCTATCAATGCTAAGAAAACTGAAATATCTCGCCAAATATGAGCTTAGAAAGCAAACACTGAGACTTGGCCAGATTATCTTGAGATAATAAAACAGGAATGCCGCAAGGAACTGCGCTCAAGCAATTCAATAAGATTAGTGGTCCCAACCAAAAACTGCACTTTCCAAGATAATGCGTCGAAGCTATTTAACAATCTACCAGAAACTATTAGAATACAGAACCTTGTTAAGACTTTCAAGGAGTTTTTTTCGTAACAGAGTACAGAGTGATTAGTTAGTTTTACGATTCTGTTAATCCTGCTTCTACTTTTAATTGTATATTGCATAATTTGTAAATAACTTGATTTGATTTATTTTTTTAAATTGTAATTGATGTACTTTAACAGGGTAGAGCAACCCAGTGGATCTGTTAATAAACCATTATTATTATTATTATTATTATTATTATTATTATTAATTGTCAGTTTATTTTCAGTCAATACTTATGTGTGTATAGTATTGTGATGTTCTCTTCACTTTCAACAACTTGTAAACTTACTTCATCTGTATCAGCTCCAGAATTTTCCTGCCCTTTATTAGCTCGTTGAACACTGTACAAGTACGCTTCAACAATTTTAGGAGCTTTCTCTTCGATGATCAAGGCCTCCACTCGTTTTTGTCTTTCTCCGTCTAACTGCACCGAACAATCTTGGGAAACAAACCGGTCAAAACTGCTACCACAGTTTTCGTAAGAGGCTTAACACCGAAATAGAGTTGCCTTGTCAGGTAAAAGACAAGGAACAGAAAGCTTACAATAAAGACGACCTTGAAAACCAATAAACCGAGCGATTATCTGACAGGCTTAAGTTCTTCACACGCTATATCAAAAAGCTCCTTCGAGATTTTCACCACTCCGCCGTTGTACTTGTCATCTGAAGGGATGTTTGTAGTGTTTATGTCAACTTCCTTATGGGAAGTTTGATCAGCCATGTTTCTTGTGACAGTTGTTAAAGATTACAAGCGAGAGATCATGGTACCTGTCAGTGAATGAGCTCAGTAGTTGCTATAAAGCAAGTGATGACAAAAAAGAAGAAAACAGGCTGGAAATGGAAGCCCTTTTTCAGGAAACAAAAGTAAGATGTTAAAGGATAATAGAAGAGTTAACAGAACACCCAAAGAAGATGACAGCAAAAGAAAACCTCCGCCAAAACAGCTAAGATAATGACACAAGAGTCATTGAATCGAACAAACGCCTTCAAACGACAAAATAGAGCAGACCTGCAAAACTTCGACAAAAGTGGCCAGTCGTATTCTAACGCGATATGTTGGGGTATTATGTCCTAGCCTGCGAATGGCAGAAGTTTCTCCGGACGTTTCGCGAGGAGGAACGTCTGCGACTCAGCGACAGAAATTCCATACTGACGACGTAAAATCTGTCTGGAATCCGGTCAGAAGCGCTGATTGGTCGACAGAGTAGTTTCATTGTTTTAGCTTTTGTTTACGAATGACAGACAAAAGACAAAAGGCCGCAAAGGTCAAATAAATATAGTCCTCTCTAGAAGCATTTGAGTTTTGCTGGAGCTCATTCGCAGATGAACACTTTTACCAAAATTGACTAGGAGAAACGTAAAGTTGAACTAATTTGTATTTGCAGCCCCATGACTACCGGACTTATTATGTAAACATTGATTTACGTCGTCAGTATGGAATTTCTGTCGCTAAATCGCAGACGTTGCTCCTCGCGAAACGCCCCTCAGCGGCGATGAGCGAGGAGAGACGTCTGCCATGCGCAGGCTAGTAATGTCCAATAGAAACTACAAAAGAGCGTCACCAGAGTTGCTAGAGGTGATAAAATAGTAAGAAGTGGAAGAGTGGGAAAAATAAGCAAAAGCAGAAGCACACAGATAACCAATAGAGTGCAACCTTTCCATAAGAGAAAACTATTTCAAAATAAAGTTGAAGGCCTCGAAAGAACAATCAGCGGTTGAAATCTCGGATGGTTAAAGGGTCGCTGAGGAACATCAACACACAAACAAGTACCAGGGTTAAATCTGAATAAATGACAGACCATACAAAGTATAAGCGCCCTCAACAATGTGAAGGAATACATAAACCCTTAGAAATGGATGGGATAACTTCCAGATGCAGGAAATACCCGGAGGTAATTAAAAAATTAAAAACAAGAATTCCAGGTGTGGGACAAGAAGAGTTAAAAGTACCATGAACAGGAGACGGGCAATAAACATTTTTCCCGTTTAATGCCGAGAAGATGCGACGGCTGAGCAATCGTTGTAGAATACATTGTTCACTAACAGACCTGGAATGCTAACTGGACGTGCTCGTTCAAGGAACATATATCGAATGCCATTTTTCACCAGTGCAGGAGAGAAAACGCAAAGTAAGGCGGGGAGATAAAAGAGCAATAAATGATCAGAATCAGCAAGAACGTGAAAAACGCGTCTTTTATTTGCCACCAACTTTTGGAAATGAGCTTAAAATCCCTTTCTTCTATGGCTTTTGCTGCTTCAGTTTGGAGGTCTGTCGCACTTGGCGAGGCTGTTGTCGTGGTGGGCTCTAAGTTCCCAAATCTTTCGATTCTCCCTCCCTAGAATTAGCCGGAACAACTATTAAAAGTCATGTTCCACATGCTTTGAATTCCGCGAGAAAAGCTATAGAAAGCGTATTATTTGTCGGTATCTATACAGTATATTGGTCAAATGATTTATAAGATCTTTGACCTTAGAGAAACTGATTTTTATACAAAAAACAGAAAGTACAGAGAGTACAGGTGTTTTGCAGTTATAACGCAACTGTGCAAAAAATAAAATCGCGAGAGGTGATGTTGAGAACTAGAACGCTCTTGACAGGGAGCCATATTTACTTAAAGTTATTGAAAACAAAATATAGCTGTTCAGAAATCAATCAAAAACGTCTTCAGGCATGGTACGCATTATATATATAGCGACGAAGAACATTACTCACTGGTAAAGGTTCGAGATATTAGTAGTCTGCGGTGCGAGCAGTAGTAGCTGGAGGCAAGCGAGTACTCAGCGCCGTAAATTATAACAAAGTTCAGATATAACGCACACTCTGATTGGTTGAAAAGCATGCTTTAAGAGAGTATAAAACATGAAGCTAAAGCAGTCACGCTATCCGTGATTCACACCATGCGGCGGTTTTCAAGACCAAAGTTTCCCATTTCAGGGTCGAAAATACACCATTTAAGGACACAAATGGAAAGGGAGTTCAGAAGAATGCCAAGTTTTCTTTTTGTGGGCAAGGAAAGTTTTTTTTGTGGCAAAATCGTTCAACGATGTTTTCGTCACGGCGGAGCGTCCCGTTTGGAAATTCATTCAAGGCAGCCAAGTTTTTTTAAGACTTTTCAGGTACATTTTTTTTTCTCTATGGTGAAGAAACACGCCAGGCTAGCAGTACGCCTGAAACGGCACTATAAGAATAACTTCTGCAGTTTTTATCCGTTTGAGCTCAAAGTTTGCAGAATGGTTGAACTTTGTATTCGAAATAATCGTGTGATTTTTGTTTTTCAATTTTAACGGGTTTTGGCGGGAAAATGACGTCACAAGAGTGACACCAAAAGTTAAATTTCAACTAAATGGTTTAACAAACAAGTAATTTTGAAAGAGCATGACGGGATAGAATCAGATGTGAAAAATTTTTTTGGAAAAGCTAAATTGCTTTAAGAGATATAGCATTCTGAAAGGCGCTTTTGTTTCTAAAAATAGCAACAAAATGGCGGGAAATTCAAAAATCAAAGCTCAATAATTTCTTAACCAAAAATTTTTTCAAATTTGATTCTATCTCGTCATGCTCTTTCAAGATACCCTTTTTGTTACAACGTTAATTGGAATTTTAAGTTTGCTGTCATTCTTGTGACCCCATTTTCCCGCCAAAAACAGTAAAATCGAAAAACAATCGTACAATTGTTTGGAATACAAAGTTCTACCATCCCGCAAACTTTGAGCTCAAACGGATAAAAACGGCAAATGTCATTCCTACAGTGCCGTTTCAGGCGTTCCACTAGCCCGGCGTGAAGGGAATTTATGTATGTATAAATGTACGTATCACAAACGTTGTCTTAATTTTGTCATCAGCGCGAAAGAAAAATTACAAAATGCACCCCGATTTGAGAGGGATTTGTGTTGAATTTTGCCATGTGCTCATCCGATTTTAATTGCTTTTAGATTAACTTCTTATTTTTTTAATAAAAAATTTTCAAGGAATAACTTCTCTGTCTATTGTTTTGAGTTTGCTTATTCATAACGTCTGCTCAAAACACGATTGCGAGATTACAGCATCACTTCAGCGAAGACGTCGGCGAATTTTATAGAATTTTTACTTTCAGCTTGATTTTTTGGGCCCTTTAAGCAATTTGTTTTCAAATTGTCACGTTAATGACGTCCGCAATTCGACCGGTTTTGAAAGCAGATTTTACCTTTAGAAACCAATTTTTGGACGTAAAAAGTACATTTCCTCTGCATTCAACTTCACACAACGTTTCGCTGGTTTCACTTTGAGATAGCTTTGATGTTTTGACAGCTTTTGTCTTATTCAACCAATCAAATCATTTGGCAACATTTGGCCCATCCTAAAAAGCTTTGTGACTGTTGAGCATGTTTTATGAGAGTGTATAGATCGATGGTAAATGCCTATACTCTCTTTCTGTACCAAACTCAGTTTTGTCATAATAAGTGTCACGCAACTTAATCGTATCTTCAATATTTTCAACAAATTGCAAAGATTGTAATACTTGATGTGCTTCAGTTAATAATAGTATTGCATTAACAAGATTTTGTACCTATGTTCATGACACGAAAATGACAGGAGGAAGGTTTTATGACCCAGCTATTAGTATAGAGGGCGTAAAGACCTTCAAAAAAGACTCGTCATGTTCGTCCAAATTCATCAAACCTTGCTGGATGCAATATAGTAAAACCTCGGGCATAAGAACCTAGATTTTTCCAAGTCAGCCTGAACAGGTTCTTATATAAATGGTGCTTAACTTGAAATCAGGCTATCTAGGTTCTTAAATGGGTTCTTAATTTTTGGTAAGAAAAA